AATTTTTTTTTAATACCATAGAGATGTATATAATTTGTCTTAAACCTAGACTGACATACCGTCTTCGCTCAGAATCGTTTTTCTTATACAATGATATTGTATCATTGAATTCAAATTTAATATCATCCATTATACAGTGACCCACTTGTAACCTACTGTACAGCAGAGCTACATCCACTTACCCACCTTTTTTTTTTGTTTCTGAATTAGGTATAGATGTATTATGTACTTATAATTATTAATATTTTGATTTCAAAATTGTATACAATTTTTGTATTATATCATACTATTATTTATTATACAGGGTTTTTTATACCATATATTGTATGATATAGATTCGTCTAATTTCTCTCTTTGCTATATTAATAGTATATATGTCAACATAAATATTTCTGAATAATTATTCAAACACAAAAAAATGAAAAGTAAAAAGTAAAAAGTTGACCAAAAAAAAAATTCAATCTGTATACATGTCAATCAAAATAACCACAGCAATAACTCATGAATTATTAGTTATTATATTAATGTTATGAATACCTACATCAATATTTATATGTTTTTGCACATATCAGTGGCATACCGAAGTGGGGTTGACTCTTCTCCCTACCCTCCTCAATGAAACATAATATAGTAGGTACATATTTTGTCGATAAACAAAATTAAATTACAACTTTTTATTTTACAACCCTTAAATATAATAACTTGTATATTATGTAGATTGTAGGTAGGTATACTGTCTAATTGTATACTTTGATATTTAAATAACCAGTTAACAAAACAATTTACGTTATGGAAATACATATAATTTTTTTATTTGACGACACTGCTCACAGAAAATGAATACTCCACTGGTTTGTCGTTTATATTATTATATAATATTATACAGAGTGATTCACTGACGTATACTATAATTTAACTGTCTAATATAATACTTTTACAGGATATGTCGTTTGGAATGATTTAAGATAACATACAATATTAAATATTAATAATTGATCAACTGATATTTTTGCTGCGGTCAGGTTATAATATTATATGTATATAGCTATAGGCTGCAATTTATTGTGTATAAATAAAATTTACAACTATGGTCGAATAGTGTTCCAATTAAAAATGAATCTGCATTTCTAACCCGAGTTGAATTGCTCCTACCTATAATATAAACCTATATGTTTAAAAGTTTTAGAACCACCGCTCTACCTAAATGGGTGGGCAATTTACAATAATATATTTATATATACTATCTGCCCTTAGGTGAAATTCGGCCGGAAACTTTTCTTTTTCGTCAAAACAATTTAAACTCAGAAGCACAATACACATAATAATAGTACAAAAAAATATATGTCTTTGGACATTTTATTTAGTAAAAAGTTATTTAAAAAAAAAATTGTTTTCAATATAATATAATACATTACAAAGAAAATAACATATTATAGACGTAATTAAGTAGGTATTACATCTAATAATAAAAATTAATTTCATAGCACAATATAAGTATGTATGGAGGAATTGTTAACACAATTATACTTTATAGATGGACATGCTTATTGTATCGAATATATCGACATTAATTAATATGTAGAGTAATTAGCTAGGTACGATCTATGGGGTAGTAATTAATTATTATATCCACATAAGGTGTAGTGGGCTTTAATGAGAATGCTGAACAAGAACGACGTAGGTGCGCATGAAATTGTGTACAAATTCCAGTAGCTCATATTACTGCAAGTTGCGTTTAAGAGTTTGGACATAAAAAGTATAGATTTCTGTATAGCGAGTCAATAGTATCCAGGCAGCCTAAGTGAAGGCTTTCTTGGAAATTTGTTTAGGGGTGCAAAGTGTATTGACGAGGCAGGGAAAAGGTCACCAGTCGCGGTCGTTTGTATCCGATGTAACGTAAAATAAGGTCGTCCCTGAACACGGTTGAGTGATTCAATTAAACCTATTTTCGAAGGGGTCCATACTGTAAACTATATTATATTGTCGACCAATAATCGAGTATCGGACTGACAATAAATTGAGAAATATAATATAGGTCATTGTTTCGAGACGGAGCTCATCCTTGAATAGTCTTTTGTGTTTCCCGATTAGAAAACCGAGATTTCTCACGGCTTTCAAGGTGCAGCGAACTTGATCTATACTAGAGGAAAACTTGAGATTAGGCCGACATAATAATATATTATGACCCCGAGATCTTCTTCGCAAGGCGATCACCAAGAATGAAGTCGGTACTCATTATCTAATTTTAACGGTATAACACGACATTTTAACATATTATTATTATGTTTAATTTTAAATCGTTTTAACGACACTATATAAATATACGAATAGCCTATATATGAAGATCTTCTTCTATTCGTGTCATACAAGTACGCAAGGAAAAACAAAATGTCTATAAATTTTATTATAGGCGGAATCGCTATTTTTTAGTAGATATTACTAACGTATTGTACTTGAAATACAGGGTTATTCAAAATGATTCATCCGATTTAAAATGGCTATATAAAGATCTGACGCCATGTGATTATTACTTTTGGGGATATGTTAAAGACACTGTGTACATACCATCATCACTGCATTCTAGTTGAATTGAAAAATCGAATAACAACAGCCATGCGTAGTCTATGCTGCAAAAAGTATGGTATGCTACGTTGTACATTTGTAAGACGTCTCCATGTGGGTGCAACGTCCTATTTAAAAAACGATTGGACAGTGTTATTAAAAAAAAACAGCACTCTGTTGCACAGATAAAATTCTTCTTTAAGTGTTGTGAAAATTTGGTAGTTTTACAACAAATATGGTGCGAGAAAGTTGCAAAACAGTTTTAGCTATGTTGTAGATTTTTAAGACTGAGACTACACATGACGTCCTCTTAACAACACTGGGAGACGATAGTTAACTTTTATTTTTAAATAAACCACCCGACATACCCGGCCCGTAATAATCAGACAATAAAGTTTGAAATTCTCTTGCAAAGACTGTATAATAATATGTACTATACTTGTTTACGTATAGATTTTAATAGCGGACATAAAGTCATAAACTGATGGGTAAACAAATACTCTGTATAGACTGTGTCACATGTGGTCGAAAGTTATTTTTCACAATTTTGTTTTTATATTGCTTTCTGTGGAGCTGTGAGCTGTGTAACCAATAAATTATATTCTGATAATGAATTTGATTATTACAATATTTAGTATAGTTGTGGACTACCTGTTATGTAAACAAATACATAAAAACAATTTAATTATTTTGATGTTAAAATATATATATATATAACTATATAAGTACACACGGTTCTTAATTTTAATAGGTACATACATTTATTTAATAACTATTAGACATAATATTTTGAATTACTATGTTATTTGTTAGCTTTAAAAAAAGGTTTGACTACCGACTAGATGTTATTCGTGTAACCAAACAATAGAACATTTATAGATACAGTTAACTAAACTTGACATATTTTTCTTTTATTTAATGTATAACATATTGTTCTAAACCTAAAAAATAAAATAATATAAGCACTTTAAATCGGATAAATCATTTTGAATAACCCTGTATTATAGTTACGAGTAACTACTATTATTTAGTTACAGTTACTATTTGTCTTAGCTGAGATTTTGGAAAAAAAACTTAGGCTTATCGACTATAAATATTAGTCTTATCTACTAATTTTGTAATTCAACCACAATACGTATTTCAACTACGTGTTCAACCGAATCGTATTTGCAATTTTAGCTAATTTTTTAGTTGTCCTCCGGAGAACTCTGTCTTATAGTTGAAATAACAATCGATTCTGTTAACTAAACTAAATATTATTTTCCACGATGTATTGATGTAGGTATATATTACTATTATTTTATACGTATTATGCGTGTCATGTGTGTCGTGTGTAAGTATAACTACGGTGTGACATCTTCGGCAAATTACCCTGGGGCGGCGGCAATTGCGATCAAGGAAAAAAAAATTACTATAATATTATAGTTAAATGTTAAACAGATTATAGTAAACATAACTATTTAATAGGCAAAATAACTAAAACGATTTACTTATCATGACTATATAGTTATTTTTTATGATAATGTTTACTATATTTTATAGTTAAAGCAGTTTTTAACGTTTGAATTAACTAAAAAATATAGTGAAAATAGCATATTTTAGTTCGAATAACTATAATAACTTGACTATGATATTTTAGTAAATCTGACTAACCTTATAGCTATCCCTATAGCAATTATAATGTAAAGTCAATACTACTATTTTTATAGTACAAACAACTGTTTTGTTTCTTCCGTGATGAATTTGGAGACGGCTACAATCGGCAAGTGTAACTTTAAACCCATACCACAGCGAGATATACAAACGAAGATATTATAGGTATTAAATACAGCCTTTGTTAATGAACTATATAAATTAAAATTATATTGTATTACCTAAGGCGTCAATTGTAACATAAAGCTTTACATATATAATATAAATGCTATACACATGAAAGGGGCAGCGGGTTTCTGGAAACTGTAATTATATATATATCTAGACACTCGGTAGCGTGTCAAGCCAAGTTCTGGCTAACAGAACTGACGAGCAACACAGTGTGTAATATTACACGAAACATTTGGAGCAACTTTTGACCCCCTCATAACTCAAAATATATTCCACATAAACATGTCAAATTTGGCTCATATATTCAGACTTACGAGATACATATGTGCTCCAGATATCATAAACACACCTCAAACCGTTATTTAGATATTAACGTCCCGAAATCGTCATTTTTATCACTGACTGACTGACTGACTGACATACCTATTGATCAAAATTCTAACTCAGTTCCAGATGACCTTTTTTTTTTTTTTGTGATGGTATCACGGCGCTACAGGGGGGCACTTCGCCCGTTAGGGCCGTCCTTCCCCCTGTATCCGTATCATTTATTTCACACAAAATCTGTTACATAATAGTCAATATCATACAATCGGCGTACAATTTATCGTACATAACTAATGGTTTCTCTTCTGTCTTACTCTTTCCTCTTCTTCCCTTCTGAACTGAACTCTCCCGATGAATCTTTTCACAGCTTCCCAGTTCGTATTCCTCTTGAGCATGATTTCAACGATGTTGTTTGCGCCTATCGGTTCTTCCAGCTCCACCTCTAGTGCACGGCGGTCCCTCTCCCATCTGCCGCACCGGAACATCACGTGCTCCGCGTCGTCCGTGGGTTCCCCGCAATCAATGCACCTTGGGTTGTCCAGTTTTTTGAACCTCCAAAGGTACTTCCCAAAGCACCCGTGGCCGGACAGCATTTGGGTTGTATGAAAATCCACGGTTCCATGCTTCCGGTTCACCCATGCTGACAGATCCTTAATCAGACTCCTCGTCCATTGTCCGTTAGGCTCACGGTTCCATTCTTGCTGCCACTTGTGGATAACTTCTTCCCGGATCACGTCCTTCAATCGTTCCTGGTCCTCTTCGCTCTTCCGCCTGTGCCTCTCGGAGCGCTCCCACGCCAGGAGATGCGCCGGTACCAGTCCTGCTATCACCATAGCCGCCGCGGTTGATATGGTTCTATAAGCCCAGTTCCAGATGACCTAGAAAGTTCAAATTTGGCATACAGATAGGTAGTTAGGTGAATACAAAGGAAAAAATCAGAAACTTGAAAATTTTAAATTTTAAATTTTTTAATCAATTGATTTTGTTATAACTTTTCAATTATTTGATCTATTATATTTAATTTTTCAATTAATTAATTAAGTGCCTCTAATTTAATGTAATGTTGACTTAAATAACTCCGCTAACCTTTCCCGTATCGCCGCTCCAAAAATACGTCCAGTCGAATATGTGTCGATATTGGCGACCCGCGCTCAACAACATACTTTTTTTTCTGTGTATGTAATTAATATTAATTTTAAAAAAAAATTACAATTAAAATAATTAAATGATATTTTATCTTACGATTACGAATTACCCACCCACCAGTAGAAATTATAGTAAATACAATTATGATAATTAAATATAATATACTCAAAAAGAGATAAAATAATTTTATATTAATTTTATATTTTTCACTCTGTAGGTATACAACAGAAAATATTTTATAATAAATATTATTCATGTTAGTAACTGAACTTTAGTAGGTATATAGTAATAAACTTTATTTATAGAATACGTCATGGCTAGGTTAGGTTAGGTTATAATAATTTACATACAAAAATTATCCCACCAAAAACATATTATGTACAATAAGAGCCAAATTCAATACTATAATATTATATGCCTGGGTTGTTGACTTCATTGACAAAAGAAGTGAGATCTAAATGGGTGCCAAGTTAGGATAATATATCGAAGCCCAAGGTCTGACTTGGATACGAATTATATATTATAGCATTTGCAAGTTCTAAAGCTTTGAGTTCTTATTTTATTCTTCGGAAAATCATCTTCACTCTTCCATTTCTGTTTTAGTAGGTACTTGATAATAATTCGTGTATGAAAACTAGCCAAGTCAGACATTAGGCTTCGATATAATATTATCCTAACTTGGCACCCATTTAGATCTCACTTCTTTTGTCGTTGAAGTCAACAACCAAGGAATATATTATGGTATTGAACTTGGCTCTCATTTTACATATATATTTTTTGGTGGGATATAACAAACATGTACCCATTCGCGATTTGCCTGTATATATATATTATAATTAGAGATGGATAATTTACCTGAAAAAAATTATCGGTAAATTTACCAATAAAGTGGTAAAAATGGTAAAATTGAATCTAAGGGTTAATAACAACATTTCTAGGGCCGTATATTTTATTAGTAAATACGATTGTTATTACTATTGTTATATTCTTGTCAAATTTAGTTCTTTTTAATAATAACAATAATGGACTAAAAATGGAGCTATTGTTCTGTACCTATCTGCACAATTATGAATATTTAATTATTAATAATACAATTAATAAATAATTAAAATTAATTTATCAAAATAACCACATAATTTCCTTTATTACTATTTATGTTCAAAAGTCAAAACATTTATGTTTATTTACTTATTTAACTGTTACTTGTATACAGTGTCAAGAAAATATAAAATATGATAAGTATAATAATTATTGTATTGGTATTTAGGTATTATCAGTTGATACAAAATATATCTCTTTGCAACGATAGATTGGGATAGACGTTTTTGATTGAATTTGATTAGGGGAGCCACACAAAATTTTTTCGGGTTAAAATTATTTTACCGGTAAAAAAAAATTGGTAAAATTAACAAATAAATTCTTTTACCGGTAAACATTTACATGGTAAATGTATAGTACTCACATCTCTAACTGTTATAATATTATTAGGTATCAACTCTGTACTTGGAGACCGTCTGGCGTCTACTGTAGTTCTATGTGGCCTATATGATACACTTAGATAATATATAACAATTAATAATATAATACTCGTTTATGTACAATGGGCGTATCTAACGACCGTGTAAAACCACGTGTGGTAGGTATAATGGAGTCGGAAATTATAATATTTTAATAATATCAGTACAGATGTAATAATATAAAAACGCATCCGTTGTAGCTCATATTCAATGACATAGTTTCCCCAAGCCAAAAACATAATTATAATTCATACCTTATGTAGGTATACATACTACATATACACTGATATACAGTGTGTTCATCACGCTAAGAGGTACCACTGAATATCTCAGATGGGTGACATTGTATTGAAATATGTTTTTTGGGAGGTGATAGGGAGCACTTAAATACAATATATTTTCAGACCAGTTTCAAATTTTTAGCTAACTCGCAATACGACTTACTTTTTTTTAAATGGCAACCCCAGTTTTTTTCTGGAGGTTCTTGTAGAGTATTGTTTTTTTAAAACATTTATTGTATAAAAAGTTTTTTTCTATTTTCAAAACTGACCAAGTTAGAGTAAGTCAAAAATTGGATTTATGTATAATATGTGTTTAATGCAATTTTCATTTAGAACCACTGAAAATAATAAAATAAGTGCCAAATAAATGTTTAATGGTGGACGGAGTGGCCGAGCGGACTAAGGAGTCGGTTGCAACGCGCACCATCGCCGGTTCGAATTCGGCTACGGGCGGCATTTTTATTTTGGCAGTCACGGTGTCTGGAGAGAGAGGTTGTCATCCCTCACCCTGGCATGGCAGATACCTACGGGTGCCCACTTAAAAATTCTGCCAAAACATACACACACGTAGGCACACATTGCAGTGGTACCTCTTAACGTGAACACACTGTATATATATACTAACTAATTAAATGTCAAATGCATTCTTTTGACAATTTTATTTATTTTTAGGTATTTTTTGTATTGGCTTTTTCAAGTCTTCTCTCCTTTTTCATTATATACTCCATTCAATATTTTTAACAACTTCCGTCAACTAAATATTATTATATAACACATTTAATGGATTATGTTCATGTTTCCGTTTTATAAATATTCTTACGCGTTCTGAATTTGTACGCCATACTTCATTAATGATTTTTTTATATTCAGATGTATTACACTCCTCCAAGATTTTTGGAATGTTAAAACTTTGAATATTATTAGAGAATTTATAGTGCATTTGTTGAGACTTTACGATACGCTTAAAATATTTTTATAAATGCAATAGACGATCTCTGCAGAACACGTCGAAATCAAATAGGTAATTGCTCGTAAATCTGGAAAATTCGACTATGGGTATAATCTGTAAAAGTTCAAAGTTTGCATATTAAAATTTATTTTTATATAGCTAAACCATAATATTTTTACAATACGTAATTTAGTATTATTTGTCGATCGTATTTTACTAAACACAAATAATTGTATAGAATATGGAAAAATGTAAGAAATTGTATAGAATATGTAAACATTTACGATTTCGTAATATTATTACATTAACCTGCAGTGTACAGTAGACTTTTGAGGGGTGAGGATTTTTAAAAACAAAATCCGTTTTGTATTACATATATATAATATATTGAAATCGTCGTAGCCGTGAGAACGCCATAAAGGTTAAGTTAAAGGATACCAAACCCATCTTTTTAAATTATATTAAAATTAATATTGAATAAATAATATACAAGGTACAATACAAGACCTGACAAATGAAATAACTTTTGTTCTAATCGATATTTAGTTTTTTTCTTAAATTAATTTATAGACATTGCGTTACAAGTACAATACACTTTTTTTTTTTGGTAAAATTAAAAATATCTAATTTTTAAATATAATTTTAAGGGATATTTTGATAACGAAATCGTTCATTTAAGTCAAGTAGTTTATTTTTGAAAATTGTTTAAAATACAGTCGACCCTCTATAGTTCGAAGTTGTTGGGACTTAAGAGAAATTTCGTATAATAATGAATTTCTGAGTGGTCTGAAATATCAAGAGAGCAAAAAAAGTAATTTGAATTATGAAAAAAATGTCGTACCTACGATAATAATTCGATAGTTATCGGAAATAATAAGCTACATGTATACGCACACTTGTTAGGTAAATTATTAAAGATAATATTATAATTTATAATAAGTACATTTTGATGAATACACTTAAAATTGCGAGCGTCGAACTCTGAATTGTGTGTTAACTGCTTTAGTTTTCCCTAAAATGTACTAATAAATGCATAGTTTTTATTCGAATTACCGATTTTTAATCGAACGGAGCAATTACTTCGAATTACCGAAAGTTTCGAACCATCGAAGGTTTGAATTATCGAGAGTCGACTGTATCATTATTTTTTAGAGTAGATTAATACCTAACGTATAATAACTTTTTTCAAAATAATCTTTTCGACCCGAAATAAGTATACATAGTAGAAGGTCGATTAGTCAGTCTCGGGACCAGAGCTTTGACGGATAATATCGAGAAGATGGTTAAGCGAGCAACAAAAATTTAAACATACGTACATATTATTTATTATTTTTTTTTTTTAGTAATTATGACATCCACATTGATATGACTAGGTACTATTACTTATTGGTAGGTACATTATTATTATTATTTTTTAATTTATTAAAAAGTTTTATTATTATGACTATCGCAATTAACTGTTTTTATCTCAACCATAATATACATACATATGTACCTATCTCTTATCTAGTAGATATTGCTGGACAGTTTCGGATTATATATATTATTATTTAGAACCTACTCATTTTCACAAGGCGATTAGATTTTACTGCAAAGCGTAAGTATATGTAGTCCGAGCAAGTGTGGCCTGACGGTTAACCCAGAAAGACGGTTAATCGGGGGACGGATAATCGAGGACTGTATAATATTTTTCTTAAATTATTTATTATCCACAAAATTGTCATACGTTATTATAACTAGCATCGATTTTTCATTTTCATTAGCCAGGTATTTCTGGTACTGCACTCTGTATACAATATACATGCGGGTTTAACAAGGAAACATTTTTATCGTTTGTAGGTAATATATATAAACGACAGTGACTGGCATGAAGGTATATCGGTAAACTGAAAATAAAAAATAATGCTTAGGAGCGAAGCACTCGACATAATTTGTTATAT